ACCCCTTCCCCCCCCCCCCCCTCTTCCCCACCTTCCCCTCAAAATGGTCTTTCTTGTCTGTGTTCCCCCCCCCCCCTCCCTTCTCTCCCCTTCCCCTCGTCTCCTCTTCCCCACCCTCAAAATGGTCCCCTTCTCTGACCTGATAAGTCTGCATGAAATCGGGCTCCTCCCACTTAACATGATCCCCCTTTATGGCCTGACAAGTCTGTCTCACATCGTGCTGTGTTTGAGGCAGACTTGTTGTGCCATCCTGGGCTGACCTTTCTTGCGAGCAATCTCCACAGCAGAGACATCCCAACCATAAGTCTGCCTCAAACGCAGCCTGATTTGAGGCAGACTTGTGGCGCGGCGAGGCGAGGGGGGGGGGGGGCGCTTGCCCCACTTGCCCCACTTGCCCCACTTGCCCCACTTGCCCCAGTTACCCAGGCAGCAGGGATTACTCCTGAGGCAAGTGGGGCAAGTGGGGCAAGTGGGGCAAGTGGGGCAAGTGGGGCAAGTGGGGCAAGTGGGGCAAGTGGGGCAAGTGGGGCAAGTGGGGCAACATCAATTAGCTTTTCCGGGCCACCAAGTGGGGCAAGTGGGGCAAGTGGGGCAACATCAATTAGCTCTTCTGGAAAGGCAAGTGGGGCAAGTGGGGCAAGTGGGGCAACATCAATTAGCGGACCCCCTGGGCGCTCGCAATGGTTTAGGGTTTAGGGTTTAGGGTTTAGGGTTTAAAAAGCATAAACCCCCAATCCCTAAAACCCCAACACCCCGGAACCCCAAGCCCCAAACCCATCCGAAGCCGGCAGGTCCTCCTAAGAAGGGCCTACGCGCGCTTAGGTAGGGCTTAGGGTTGAGGGTTGAGAGTTGAGAGTTGAGAGTTGGGAGTTGAGGGTTTAGGGTTAGGGTTTACACCAACCGAAAACTTCAAACCACCCAAAAGCTGTCAGAATGTGCAGACTGATTTGGAGCCCCTGACGAAAAGCACCAAAGGGAGCCCAACCACACCCCAAAAAAACCCAGCAACCCCCAAAAATGGACCCTAAACCCTAAAACCCTAAACCCCTAAACCCCGAAACCCCGAAACCCCTACACCCTAAACCCTAAACCCCTAACCCCAACCCCTAAACCCTAAACCCTAAACCCTCAACCCTAAACCCTATGCGGAGCTGCAGTTTGTATAAAAAGGTAGTATTGAAAGGGTTGCAAAGTTATCTATTTGGCTCAAGGCTCAAGGCTCAAGATGGGCAATGCACCTACCAGAAGAAAAGAACTTGTGTGTGTTTGTGGTTGGTTGGTTCAGGGTAAAATCCAGGGCTTCGGTTGGGGTTGACTGTTTGGTTCCTTGTCCCCCTTCGGTTGCCCCCCATACCCTAAACCCTGCCTGAAGGAACTCCTGGGACTGCTGGAACTCCCCACGCCGCCGTTGCAGCGCCTCCCTCCGCAGGTTCTCCGCACCCGCCGTGGCGAAGCTTTCCACCTCCGGGATGGGGTTTAGGGTTCAGGGTTTAGGGTTTGGGGTTTGGGGTTTAGGGTTTAGGGTTTAGGGTTCAGGGTTTAGGGTTCAGGGTTTAGTGTTTAGGGTTTAGGGTTTCGGGTTTAGGGTTCAGAGTCCGCCGACCCTGGCGGCGTGTTGGATGGGTTTGAGGAGGTGAAAACCTCCCTCTCCTTACCCCCCCAAAACGCAGGGGGGGGGGGCTAGGGGGGGTCGGTGCACAATTTTTCGTGCCACCCGCACAGCGTAAACAGGCGGTTCAGCACAGGGGGGGTAGGGGAGCCCTCAGCAAAATCAGCGTTTTCGGCACCCCCCTCCACCCCCACCCCCCCACCCCCCCCCCCCCCCCCAACCCCCCCCCCCCCCCCACCCCCCCCCCCCTCTCCCCGACCCCCCCCCCCCCCCCCGCCTTCCGACCCCCCCCCCCCCCTACCTCCCCTCCCACCCCCACCCCACCCCCACCCACTTGTCTTTTTGCTTGAGCTTGTCCTGGTTGCTTAACCCCCTCCCACCCCCACCCCCCCCCAACCCCCCCCCCCCAAAACAACGTTTCACAGAACTCTGCCGAGCAGGCTGGGATGATCTTCGAACAATGCGAGCGGGTTTAGACCTCTCAACTATGCTCCAGCGGGGTCGGCGGCTTGAGCCGGAGGCTCTTAAATTTAGGGTTTAGGGTTTAGGGTTTAGGTTTAGGGTTTAGGGCTTGGAATTTAGGGTTTAGGGTTTCGGGTTTCAGCCTGCGGGTTTAAGAATATGGCAAAGATAGTGATGGGACCTGTTATGATCCCTACTAAGTACTGTTAGTATAACATTCGAAGTTACAGGGGCTTATGCTCTTGTCGGGCTGTTGGCGCGATTTGCATATGACTGCTCAATGAACCCTAAACCCTAAACCCCCTAAACCCTAAACCCTAAACCCTAAACCCTAATGGCATTCTTGCGGTTGGTCTCTGAAGGGTCCTCTTCTTGCAAGTGCGAGAGAAATTCCAGACCGGAATCCGAAAACCATCCTAGCCAGAGCCTGCGGCGAAATTTAGAGTCTATACAGCCTAGGCACTTGGGGCCACAAACTTCTACTTGCGGACCTGGTCTTGCTTGAGATTCACAATGCAAGGTTCAGGTCTCTTTTTGTGAGTTCGCCTGTCCACATTTGGAACTTCTTTGGGATTAAGGGTTGAGGTTTGGGGTTCCGCGGGAATGACGTGGGAGTTTCTTCTCAAAGGACGACTTCTTATTCGCAAAATCTTGCGATGCCACAGACTTCCTCTCAAACTTCCCTAGACCCTAAACCCTAGACCCGAAACTCAAAATCCTAAACCTTTCGCGGAGCTTGCACAAGCATCTCTGATCCCTGAACCACGCAGGTCCCTACCTGTGGAAGATATCCCAGAAACCAGACTTAGGGCAACATTGGGAAGAAACAATGGCCTCGCGCCTTGTGGACTCCTAAACCGGTAAGATAACTGCGTAATATATATATATATGTATGTATATGTATATATATATACGCATATATATATATATGTATATATACATATATATGTTTATATGTATATGTGTTTTGGTGTGTTATATGTAACATGCAATCATACAAAATTCTACTCAAGTGAGTACCAAGTACTATATTCTCCCGTCTTCCGTGCATTTCCCTCCCGAACTTGGAGTGCCAAGGTCCACGTAAGGCCCGCTTTCCCCTTGCCAACGGCACCCTAAACCCTAAACCCTAAGCCCGAAGCCGCCCTAAACCCTAAACCCTAAGCCCTAAACCCTAAACCCAAAACCCCAAACCCCAAACCCTAAGCCCTAAACCCTAAACCCTATTTAAACCCTAAACCCTGACTCGCCTTCCCCTTGCCAACGGCATACGCAAAGAAGTAGACCTCAAGCTTCGCGCCGCAGAGCACGGCCGTCTCGATGTTCTGGATCCAGTGGCTCCACCAGCGGCAACCCCATGGCTTTTGTTCCTGAATAGGAAATCAGGGTTTAGGGTGTAGGATTCAGGGTTCAGGATTTAGGGTTCAGGGTTCAGGGTTTACGGTTCACGGTTTACGGTTTAGGGTTTAGGGGGTTTAGGGCGTAGTGTCTGGGAATGAAATTGGGGTTTACTGTCGAACTAGGGCCGAGGGTGAAGCGAATAAAGGCGTCCGGTTGAGAACACGACGGATGCACTGTGCGTGATTTAATCTAGACACATATATATATATATATATATGTATGTATGCATAAAGCTGAAACTCTAGCAAATATGACGAAGCTCTGTAGATTTAAGCGGTCTGTCTTCTTCACGGGCTCCCGCAAGATCAGAAAAACAAACTTAGGGTTTAGGGTTTAGGGTTTAGGGTTTAGGGTTTAGGGTTTAGGGTTTAGGGTATAGGGTATAGGGTTTAGGGTATAGGGTATAGGGTTTAGGATTCGGTTGTTGACTTAGCATTTAGGCTTTGGGGATCAGAACCGATGAACCCACTGCGGCTGCTATGTTGGGGCTAAGGGCTGCTGGACATGTATAAGTACCAAGCCAAGAATAGGGTGAAGAGAAATTAGGCTTTTGGGCTTTTCACCCTAAACCCTACACCCTACACCCTAAACCCTAAACCCTAAACCCTAAACCCTAAACCCTAAACCCTAAACCCTAAACCCTACACCCCACACCCTCCGCCACAATTGTCACCCAAGTCTCACCGTAGAGGGGCACGCACCAGCATGCACCGTGGAGGTCCTGGCCGCTTGAACGCTGAACCTTCGATCTAGGGGTTTAGGGTTTAGGGTTTAGGGCTTAGGGTTTAGGGCTTAGGGTTTAGGGTTTAGGGTTTAGGGTCTAGGGTCTAGGGTTTAGTGTCCTAGGGTCTACGGGTCTAAGGGATAACGGTTTGGGGCTGAGGGTTTGGCCTGAACACGTAGCTACTCACCAATCCTCGCTGGGAGGGATCTCGTCATGCTGGCCGTACTGGCTGGTATGCTCCGGCAGAAACACCACTGCTGCACTGACCTCCCCCTTGCCTTGGACTCGGCGCCGCGGTAGGGTTTAGGGTTTAGGGTTTGGGGTTTAGGGTTTAGGGTTTGGGGTTTGGGGTTTGGGGTTTGGGGTTTGGGGTTGGGGGTTTGGGGTTTGGGGGTTTGGGGTTTGGGGTTTGGGGTTTGGGGTTTAGGGTTTCGGGTTTAGGGTTTAGGGTTTTGCAAGGTTTAGGGCCTAGGTCCCGGGTTTCGGGTCTAGCCTGAGAACGTTGGATGCAAAGAAAAGGACAGTTGTCTTCGAGGAGGTTCCAGCACACATTGTGGCTGCACAGTTGCTTTGTGTCCCATGTTGAATGACCGTGCCACCCAAACGAGAACCCTAAACCCTGAACCCTAAACCCTAAACCCTAAACCCTAAACCCTAAACCCTAAACCCTAAACCCTAAACCCTAAACCCTAACTTTGGAACTCAAAAAACCAACAAGAAAGCAGCCCCTAGTTGCTGGAAACTCCCAGATTTGTAGGTACAAAAACCTAACCTGAAACCCTAAATCCTTAAACCTTGAACCCTAAACCCTGAATCACAAAAGCCCCTTCAACCCTAAACCCTAAACCCCAAACCCTCAACCCTAAACCCCAAACCCTAAACCCTAAACCCCAAACCCCAAACCCTAAACCCCAAACCCTAAACCCTAAATCCTAAATCCCCCAAAGCTTTCGCGACAGAGACGCGACTGGATGCCACGAGTGCATCCCAGGCAGCTTCGTACTTTCCAGGCCATGAGCACACACAAGGCCGGCCAGGCTCCTGATTAGGGGTTTAGGGTTTAGGGTTTAGGGTTTAGGGTTTAGGGTTTAGGGTTTAGGGTTTAGGGTTTGGGGTTTGGGGTTTAGGGTTTAGGGTTTAGGGTTTCGGGTTCATTTTTCCCCCTAGAAAGCCCCCTGGAAATCCTGAGGTTCGTGGGAGGGCTTTACAGCTGTGCTTCGGGTCAGCAGGCCTTGGGTTGGAATAGAAGGCTTTAGGGGCCTAGGGGTTAGAAGGGTTGGAGACCTTCGCGTTTAGGGTTTAGGGTTTAGGGTTTAGGGTTTAGGGTTTAGGGTTTAGGGTTTAGGGTTTAGGGTTTAGGGTTTGAAGGTGGGGGGTCCCGCAGAAACTGCCCCAACCGCAATCCAGGCACTTCGATCACCGAGCCGCCGAAGACGATGGTGCGTTCCCTCACATCGCGCTCGGCCATTCCGCGAGCCATCCCCTCTTCCTTGAGGAGGCCAAGGGTAGAACTAAACCCTCAACCCTAAACCTTATGTGTTGCTACGCTATGTAAACGTAGTGTGATACCCTAAACCCTAAACCTCATGCGGGCATTTCCCAGAATAGGGGGTTCCCCAAATTGTAGGAACCCCTCAGAAAGGGTAACCCAATTTTCGGCAACCCCCATGTGTTTCGTCACCCTAAACCCTAAACCCTAAACTTTAAGCCCTAACCCCTAAACCCTAAACCCTAAACCCTTACGATGGGGGCCAGGCTTCTACCTCCTCCGCATCGGTCAGCTGCTTGCCACGGGCGCACCGGGAGCAGAGGAAGCAGAGCCCAGCAAAACCGGCGACCGGCCAGAAGATCAGAGACGTCCACCACCAGGCACCTTGGGCTTCGTGCGGCCCTAAACCCTAAACCCTAAACCCTAAACCCTAAACCCTAAACCCTAAACCCTAAACCCTAAACCCTAAACCCTAAACCCTAAACCACCCTAAACCCTAAACCCTAAACACGAAACACGAAACCCTAGCTGCCGTGAGGTGTTGCTATGCATGACACTTTGAATAAGCCCGGTAGTTCTCTAGATCAGTGTCCCGTTTCGGGGATCCTTTTTACAAGGTGCCGTACTTAACAAAGGGATCCCCCAAAGGGAACCGAAAACTACCCTCAACACTAAACCCCTAAACCCTAAACCCTAAAACCTAAACTACCGTGTCTCCAAGCCACGTAGGCCGTGATGGACTGTCAGCCCCAGCAAAGCCAGCACTGCTACACCTCAGGGGTTGAAGATTTAGGGGTGAAGGGTTTCAGGGGATTTAGGGTTTAGGGGTTTAGGGTTTAGGGCGTCGGGTTTAGGGAGTTTAGGGAGTTTTGGGAGTTTAGGGTTTTGGGTTTTGGGTTTAGGGCTTAGGGTTTAGGGTTTAGGGGTATTTAGGTTTGAGGTTTAGGGTTCAGGGTTTAGGGTTTAGGGGTATTTAGGGTTTGAGGTTTAGGGTTTAAGGTTACTTAGGGTCTAGGGTTTCGGGTTTAAGGTTGTTTGGGGTTAGGCCCGTTTAGGGGTTAAGGGTTTAGCTTCTAAGGTTGTTAAGGGTTTAGGATGTAGGGATTAAGGGTTCAGGGATTTTATAATTTGGGGGGAATTGAGGGGGGTGTAGGGGGTGAGGTGTTAGAACAACACGCTTCTTAGGGGTCTAGGGCTGTAGGCTCGGGGTTCAGCCCAAACCCACAAAAAAACCCTCAACCCTCAACCCTAACCCCTAAACCCTAAACCCTAAACCCTAAACCCTAAACCCTAAACCCTAAACCCTAAACCCTAAACCCTAAGCCCGGACCCCAGAGGACATGGAGGCAGTAGCGCTCGCGCATCCCATGCCCACCACTGCGGAAGCCAGTTTTCTCCTTCGAGAGAACGCTGTGGGTCTAAGTTTAGGGGTTGAGGTTGGGATGTTCCCCCTTACACCCGTTTAGGGTTTAGGGTTTAGGGTTTAGGGTTTAGGGTTTAGGGTTTAGGGTTTAGGGTGTAGGGTGTAGGGTTTAGGGTTTAGGGTTTAGGGTTTAGGGTTTAAGGTTCAGGGCCTTAGTCTCTTACGCTTGACAACTTCAGGCGACAAGTCTCATCCACATCTCCGAAGACCATGGCCCAGAAGTTCACACAGCAACAACAAAGAGCTGCAAGGACGCTCAGCAGTGCGGCCATCACACCATCCTGGGCGGTTTGGGGGGGTTTAGGCCCTTCAGGGTGCAGGGCTCTCATGGCTTCAGGGTTTCGGGTTTAGGGTTTAGGGTTTGTGCTCGGAGCTTCCTGTAACGACACACCCCTCTTGTTGCTGACATGGCATCCGAGGGGGGGACAGCTGCGCACAGGATCACCAACGCAGTGGCGATGCCCGGCAGCACGAGGAGCACAACAATGCCAAAGTTCATTTCCGTCTTGTACATCCGCCGCCTGGGAACTCGAAGTTTAAGGTCTAGGGTTGAGGATGGTTCCCTAAACCCTAAACCCTAAACCCTAAACCCTAAGCCCTAAGCCCTTCAAGCCGGCTTAGGGTCTAAAGGGATCCGGCTTGCTCCAAGTATCATATAAAAGCCTTAATGATTAGAACAGGGTTTGGGGGTCATTATAGTACAATTGATGAAAAGGGACCATAAGGGAATACTGTGAAATTAGTCTTTCTTCCGACCCCTATTTTCCCGGGAGCCTCGTCTCCTTCTCATTGAGGGCTTGCCTCTGCCGCGCTACTTCCCGGCGGCGTTTGGCCTCGCGCTGCACGTCCGCCTGCTCCTGGTCACTTGAGTTTAGGGCTTAGGATTCAGGGTTTATACAGGGTTTGAGGAGGAAAAACGCCAAAGGGCTTCAGGGTCCCTGGACCCTGAACTGGGCACTTCGGTTCATGAACTCAGTTTTGAACGAAAGCTGCTGAGAGAAGAAAAGGCCATCTTCACTTGCATTCCTTCTCTATCCACTATCCAACATCTCACCCGCTTCAAACCTCGGCAACTTCCCCCTAGATTTAGGATGCCCTATACGATCTCTTCCTTAAAAGGTAATATCAGTGGATACAAGCTACCGAATTCCCTCACTAACACTAACTACTAAGAACCAGACAATCTAGGGCTGAAGGGTTTGGGGGCATCTCCTGCAGGTCCCGACGCAAGGCAGCCTCACTGAAGTCTCCAAAGCTCTGGGAAGCCTTCAGCTCTCCCTTTGCAAGCCCTTTGCCCAGAACGGCCTGGTCTTCTACAAGCCGAACCTCAACATTTGAGGCTTTGAGGATTGAGGGTTTAGGGCTTGGGGGTTTAGGACTTAGGGTTTAGGGTTTTGGGTTTTGGGTTTAGGGTTTAGGGTTTTGGGTTTTGGGTTTCGGGTTTGGGGTTTAGGGTTTAGGGTGTAGGGTTTAGGGTTTAGGGCTTGGGCGTTTCAAGACACGAAGAGGACCTCAGCGCTTGCCAAGTACAGCCCGAGAGCCACCACCTCCGCGACGCCCTCTTGAATCTTCAGGCTGCGGCCTGGGTAGAGGATCTGCCAGCCTTCTCCGACCTTCACCTGGAGGGCAGCGTCCAGGGTTTCGGGTTTAGGGTTTAAGGTTTAGGGTTTAGGGTTTAGGGTTTAGGGTTTGAGGTTTAGGGTTTGGGGTTTAGGGTTTAGGGTTTAAGGTTTAGGGTTTAGGGTTTAGGGTTTAGGGTTTAGGTGTTGTTTGTCAGGTAAGGGCATCGGATGGGGGGTGAATAGGCTTGCCTTCCGCCTTGAGGCTGAAAACCTGCCTGCCATATGAAGCAGGGTTTTACTACTGGTAGTATCCCTGTGGACACTGTCAAGGAAATCCAAGTTTCCACTGAGGAAGTTGCTTCTGTCTTAAACCGTAAAGGAAATAATGGTTTCCTATCAAAACTGCAGAGAAGACAGGATGTTCCTGCGCAACAACAGAGAAATTTAGCGCTTTTCTGTTCTTACTTGTCCAAGCTGCCAAAAATCACAGCCCCCGCACCCTCCCCACCCCGGCCCCCCGCCCCCCCCCCAAAAAAACACTCACCAACGTGTAGCAGGAACCCTATTTAAGAGTTTACGAAAATAAGGGAACCCCATCCCCAGAAAAAGAGAGGGAGATGTGCCTCAAAACTAAGCAGGGCTCCAAAACCCCAAACCCCAAACCCCAGACCCCAAACCCCAAACCCTAAACCCTAAACCCTAAACCCCAAACCCCAAACCCCAAACCCTAAACCCTAACCCCTTCTCTTCGAGTTGCAAACTAAAGGGGGCCCTTGGAGGGGCACACGATATGGGAGTTTACGACAACAAGGGACCCCCAAAAATAGACCCCTAAATGGTAGGATTCCCGTGTAATACGGACCCCAAGAAGGTACCCCCTAATTTCCGGAGGATTGAGGGTTTGCACTTTAAGAACCCAACACCTACCCTAGACCCTAAACCCTAAACCCTAAACCTCAAACCCTAAACGCTACCCCCCTATATGCCCCAAAAACCATGGGTTCATACTTCAGAACCTTTAAAGAGGCTAAGGGACCGTATTAGGGGACCATGCAACTACCCTTTTATAAATGCTCTAAAACCCGAAGACCCTAAAGCCCAAAATCCCTAAAACCCTTAACCCTAAAACCCCAAAAAAACCCTAGACCCTCAAACCCTAAACCCTCAAACCTAAAACGTCTATACCATGCAAACCCCAAAGCCTAAAAACCCGAAACCCTAGAACCTAAACCCCAGAGCCGAAAAAAACCCTAAACCATCCAAACCCTAAAACCCTAAAACCATAAACCCCAAAATACAACCAAAATACATGCCTATCCAGCCCCGCGGTTCCGTCCTCCAGCGGGGCCCGAAGATCGTTGACCAGCAACGCCCCCGAGCCATCGCTTGGAGTGGCCGCAGCATTGGGCATGGCCGCAGGCATTCAGAGGGTTTAGGGTTTAGGGTTTAGGGTTTAGGGTTGAGGGTTGAGGGTTGAGGGTTTAGGGTTTAGGGTTTAGGGTTTAGGGTTGAGGGTTTAGGGTTTAGGGCTTAGGGTTTAGGGTTAAACGATTGAGGGTTTTAGGGTTAAACGATTCAGGGCTTAGGGTTGTTTTTTGCGTTGTTTTCTGATGTGTTTTTTTGCGGATCAGTTTGGGAAGGGCCCTTGGGGGGCTGCAGAAGCTGTACGAGACATAATTCAAGAGAGCCTCGCACGCACACATACGCACACATCTATCGGCACAGGGCCACAAGCAGGCCGACATTGGGCAGCAACAGAACTTTCGTCTTGGGCTTAGCGAACATGAACGATCTAGCGCAGGTTTGAGTATGCAGTCACTGCGCATTGCATGGACATACCCGTATACACCCAATTCTTAGGGTAGTTTCATGATCCCTTAATATGGGCCCTTCTCCATATATACATATAAAACCCAATGATGCGTGCCCCATTGGAGTCCTTGGTCGATTTTGGAACCCCCCCCGACTCCCATACGGCGGCTTCCGAAATTTAGGGCGCCTTACTTTGGATTCCGTCGTAGAAGGGAACCCTGCTATTCGGGGGTCTATTTTGGGGGTCCCCTATTTTCGTAAACCCCCACATTCCAGTGACATTTCCCTAAACCCTAAACCCTAAACCCTAAACCCTAAAGCCTAAACCCTAAACCTTATCATTTAATGAGGACCCCGAATACCGCAAACCCCCGTATGGACCCAGACATGTTAGGCAAACCGGATGGTCGGAGCATCCTGCGGGCTTCTCTCTGTCCGCATAAACCCTAAACCCTAAACCCTAAACCCTAAACCCTAAACCCTAAACCCTAAACTCCCTCTAATTAAACAAGTTAGCAAAAAAAAAAAAAA